CATGACGATTGATTTTCTTTCTAAGTCCCTTCCGATGGATTTGCCAACAAATGGGATATTATTCCACCAGGTAATAAATGGGCAGCCTGTGCCAGTGGATGTGTGCTGGCTATAAATCCCCACTGCCCTGCCTGTGGTGGCACTAGGTCTGTCCAGCCAGAGGTGGACCAGAATTACCTCTTACATGCGTGGAATGCAAAGCCCAGGTCCTAAATCAGGCCCAGCTGAGCAGCCCGTCAGTGTTGGTGGGGTCCACCTGCTGAGCATGGAGGGATCCCCACCTGGGTCTATTCCTGACATTCCCTCTACAGCTTCAGCTGGAGAGCCGCCTTCTCTCCTTGTTCCAAGCTTTTTCTACTGTTAAAGAGCTACCACATCCTACCCCTGATGTGGTGCATACTTGTGGTAAGTGGAGTGGTTCCCAGTTTTAGAATGACTTGGGATCTTCTGGAGGAGATGCTGTATTAAAATGCAGGACCACTGGCAAACCCATCATCTTCTGGGAGTTCTCAAGACAAACTCCAGTACGAAAGGATTAGGTATTGTGCTCTTATTATTGTTATCATAGTGGTGTTATGGTGCTTCCCTCTTGTCCAGGCACTAGGAGGTGCTACTGGAAGTATTTCCTCACATCTGCAACTTCTGCATCCTGAGCAGGAACCCCTGCACAGGCAGTCACCTCATGCTGTGGGGTCATAAACCCTGATGGAGCCCAGAGGCAGAGCCAGGCCGGCGAGCGGTACCTCTGCGCACCCTGCGCTGCTCATCCTCAACTAGGCCAGGCTCGACACTTGGCAGAAGCTGTTATTTTACTTGTTGTGTTGTGCTGTTGTTGGTTGTTTTTTTTTTCTCTTTTTCTTTTAAATACATTTTTCAGACAAACAAACTAATAACTCCCACAAGTTGCCGTGATGCGTCTAACCACATCCGCGGCGCTGTGCTTCCAAACAGATGTTGCCAGAGTCCAACTGAGTCACCAGCGAAAGCATGTTCAGATGCAAGGGCTGATAAGGAAGTCCTCTATCCCCACTGCTGCTGCAGCTCCTGCAGCCAAGCCTTGTCCTCCTGCCAGAACAGGACCTTTGGAGCACCCTAGCAGCAGTCACCTGCAAAGCCCTTCCCTAGGAGCGAAGCAGAGGTTTTGCAAGAGCAGTCTGAGTGCTCTGGGACATTGTCCAGTTCTGGATGGGGTTTGTGCAATGTGGACTTGAATACTAAAGCTGGGTTTACTTAATCTGGACCGGGCCCAGCTTGCAGTGAAGGCGGCAGGAAGGTTTCTGTTGGCAGCTGGAGATGGCAGCGCAATGGGATGTTGGAGGGTCTGGTTCTCATTCAATCCAATCCAATGGCAAAAATTTCCTTTGACCTCACCAGGTACAGGTTTGTGCTGCCCAGTTTTTGTTCCAGAAGCAGCCATTCAGCTGGGCCTCAGCACTGATGGGTGCTGTGCAGTGACTAGGTAAAAAAAGGCAGACTGAGCCTCCAGGATATGTGGGGTTTCTCCGGTTCCCTGGCAGGCAGCTGAGCAGGAAGCCAGAACTCAGAGGTAGGAAAGAGGTAGATAGAAGGACCCAGATCCCATTTTCTTGGGCTACAGTTGCAATGGCAGGTCTAGGAATAAAGGAAGGTTTTAGGGAAAATACCTCCCAGGTCTGAATAGCCTCTCTCTGAGATGCTGTGGGTGATGGGGGTGAGAAGAGAAGGAAGCACAGTCTCCATCAAGATCACCAGCTTTCTAAGGGTGAGGCACTTGGAGCTGATGCTTTCACCCTGTCAGCAAGCAGATAAGGAGCACTTCTTCCTTGCTGCTTCCCCCTGGCTCTGGAGGAGCTGGATCACAAGCAGGGTGTGCAATTGACACTCTCAGATGGATTTTAGTAGCAGAAAGGGTGAATGTTTTGTTAGGACTGTACTTAAGCCCCCAAAGCTCGTTCCACAACAGCTACCAGGAACTGCTATCTAGTGCTGATGACTTCCAAGTGCTTGTCTGGCTACGAGCTGGCAGCAAAACCCATCTCCCTCTGCTGAGCCACATCCTATTTCATCTTCCTTGTTTGGAGTTGCACCCAGAGCCTTTTCAGCACAGGGGAACACCGCGGATCCCTTGCCAGCACACTGAACCAGTAAGCTCAGCTCCAGCAGCCCCTTACATCCCCAGGATGTAAGGATGCAAAGGAATCTTTTTTTCCCCTAAGTGATTGGAGCTTCAGCTGTTACAAAGAGGATTAATGCAGACAGGCATTTCCACCTTACCTGTGAAGTCTGCTCTGCTGACAAGTCTTCCATGAGTCACCAGGCTCCATGGTTAATCTTCTGTGACTGAGTGTGTGGCTGTATGGAGAGGGAGCTGTGCTACTCATACTTTTCTACCTTACTTTATTTGCAGACCTCTATACTTTGTGCAGCTCCATTTGATGACTGCTGCTCCTGAAATGCCTTTGTTCCGTCTGGTTTTCCTTTAGGAGAAAGGAGGAACCACTGTTTTCATGCCAGTCCCTTCGGAGAGCTGTAGAAACCACCACCCCCCCCACCAGCTACAGTGCCCTTTCCTGGGGTGCAGGATGTGTTGGACAAGCTCATGTTCATTTTCTTCTCCTGCTGACCAGGCTGTGCTGTCAGGGTGGATGCTGAAGGGCAGCTCTCCATGTGTAGCCCACTGTCTGCAGGGAAGCCATGTCCTCTGCTTCCCTACGGTGATGTGTCTGGTGGAACACCGCTGCACGGAGCTTCTTCTGTATTTCTGAATGGGACAGCTCATGCAGACATTGAATCTAAGCTTCAGAGGAGGTGTCCTTTAGCATGGGGCAGAGCAGAGAGATGGAGTTTAGAAGTTTATTTTGCTTCTCGCTTGCCCCAGCTTGCTCCTTGCAAATACAGACTATTACTGAGGAGGACCAAGGGAGGTTGCTCTTCCTGCTTATTCATGCCACTCCTTACTGCTTGTTTGCATTCAAAGAGCCCCAGAGCCCACAGGCCCTGTCTGCAGCCATTGAGTACCCTGTGCTTCAATACAGAGGATGGGTAACGTGGAGGGAAAAGCACAGAGCAGGTAACTTGGAAGGGAGCCTCCAATGAGGCTTTCCCAGAGTGATGCTGTAGCAGCTGGACCATGCTGCCCATCCAGCCTGGGCTGTCTCCAGGGCTTCTTCCAGGTGTTGGTGGAAGCCTGTGTGTGTGATTTGAACAGTGATTGTCTGAAAGGCTGGAAACTCTGTGCCTCATCTCCAGACAAGCCTTAGCTTAAGCTTAGGCTAAGCTATAGCCTGTGTTAGACACATCCTAACAGCTGATAGTGGTTATAATTCTTAGCTATAAAGGCAATAATTCAGGAAGGAAGGTTTGATACCCTATTGCCAATCATGAGATAACGGAGTCCACATTCTCTTCAGCTTTGTGTTCATGTTCTCCCTTATAGCATGGCTCCAAAACTTCCTTCCCCATGGAGGATCACTGAAATCACTGCTTTAGCTTTGGAGAAGAAGCTCTGCAGCCCAGAAGTGTCACTGTCATCTCCTTTCTCTTCTACATGTTGTATAGTAGCGATGTTAAAACCACATCACTTTTACCCAGGAGCAAGAAGAGGTCCATGGTATCACCTTGTAGCTTCCCTCTTTATGAGCCACCCGGTTTATCACATCATGGTTTCCCCTCACGAGGCTTGAAACTGCCTGGAGCTGCTCTTCTAGAAAATGATCTCTCCAGGAATCAGCTCCAACTCTCATTTTCCATGTCTGTGCACACCAGTGTCTCTAGATGTTGAGACATCTCCTCACAGCCTTGTTTTAATTTCTCTTAGCAGCTGCCCCCCTTTTATTCCACTGAAAGCTGGATTGGTTGGAATTTGCTTATTCTGCCCATGACAGCTTTGATCCTGCACATAGACGTGCTCCCTGTCAGCCAGGCAGCAGGGGAGGGCTGTCCCTAGCCTAAGGCCTTCGGGAGTCATGAATGAATACTGTGTTTACTTGGATTCCTAATTGACCAGTGCCTTGCCAGATCAGCTGCATGTCACTGTGAGCCGAGGGCATTGAGACAATCCTTGTTCTTCTACAGCTCCTTCATGGGTCTCAGATGCTGTTGCTGGAGGCAGCAGCCATCCAGCTCATGGCGTTGGGAGCCTCATTTGAGCACAGGATGGAGAAAGGCTTTTCTTCTCCAAGTCTATCACCGGGTTATGAAAGTTGGGCTTTCCTTGGGTCAACCCAAGAGGAGCATCTACAGATGAAGAGTTTCAATAGAGGTGCACAGGATGGAGATGGGAGTCCCGTCTCCTGTGCTCAGGGTAGCACCAGGTGTGAGACTTTCTCCTTTGTGAGCATATGGACCAAGGCAGAACAAAGTAAAGCTCTTTTGGGTTCATTGCCTTGTGGTTGAGACCACCAGGAAGTTTCACAATGGGTTTGAAAGGGCTGAATAGTTCCTGAAAGCAGCGTGTTGACAGTCTGGGTTTCGTAATGCCTCTGTCTGTTCCCGTGCGGTGAGTTTGTTCTCGTACCCATCGTACCCACTGCCCAGGGGCTTTCATCCCTCAGTGCAGTCTCTTTTCATCCTCCTTTGGGTCCATCTCAGTGTCCTGAATAATGTATTATCCAAAAGAGAGAGCTAAAGACCACAGGGACTAGAGAGGGCTGCACTTGGGATGATGGTGAGGGCACTCAGCTCATTGTCCTGGTCCCTTTGGAGAGGTTTCCCTTTGGCAGGTAGGATATACTTGAGTGGTTTTGTTTCATGTGCAGAAGGTGCCTGTGCAAGTTACAAAGAAGAAGGAGGAGAATATGGTCAGTCTGTCACTCTAGAAGTCCTTGTCTGTGCTCACACTTCCTACCCACTCCCAAAAAGTGACCTGCAAGGCCTGTTTTTCTCTCCTTGAGCTTTCTGGTTTCCTGCTCCCACCTGGCCTACACCTCCAGCAGCTGTGTTTGTCCTGGCTTCGGGAATACGACTGTGCTTAGCTTTAGTTAATGTTGTTTGGTTTCTTCCCTCTCCCTAAACCAGAAACAACCGAGCTTGGGAACAAGAAGGAGTTGAAATCCATGCCCTTCATCACGTATCTCTCAGGCCTGCTGACAGCGCAGATGCTGTCTGATGACCACCTCATCTCAGGTGTGGAGATTCACTGCGAGGAGAAAGGACGCTGCCCATCTACTTGCCACTTGTGCCGGCGCCCTGGGAAGGAGCAGCTCAGCCCCACACCGGTTCTGCTGGAGATCAACCGCGTGGTGCCTCTGTACGCTCTGATCCAGGACAACGATACCAGGGAGGTGAGTGATGGAGCAGCTCCTCCTCTGTGATCCTGCTTTAGTCACCCCTTGGTCTGCGTTCCTCAGACTCTGCGTAGATTTAGACATTAGGAAGAAAGTCTTTATTATGAGGGTGCTGAGGCGCTGGCACAGGGTGCCCAGAGAAGCTGTGGCTGCCCCATCCCTGGCAGTGTTCAAGGCCAGGTTGGACACAGGGGCTTGGAGCAACCTGCTCTAGTGGAAGGTGTCCATGCCCGTGGCAGGGGGTTGGAACTGGAGGAGCTTTAAGGTCCCTTCCAACACAAACCCTGTTCCCTGGAACAGGGCAGTGTTTCTGTGTGTGTGTTTGGTGGGGAGCACTTCAGGATGGTGTCAGTGATGGAGCTGGGAAATTCTGCTGCCCACGACCTACACTGTCCTCATAGACCTGTCTCTCTCTGCGTTCTTCATGCCTTCGGTATGGTGAAGGCAATGCTTTAAGCAGCCAGGGCCACTGTCATTCCTGGTGTCCACCCACAGCAGACACTGGTGTGCTGGATGTCACCTGGGGAGGGATCTGAGGAGCCAGGCATCACATAAGGCTTTCACTGCTGGCTCTGAGGTCTTGGCTGTAGCTTTGCAAAGCCCTGGTGCAGAGGGGAGGCAATAACCAAGCCCTCAGGACAGTCCCACAGCCACAGGAGGTCACTGTTACTCCAGGAGGGACCTTCCCAACCTTCCCTGGGGCCGGGCTCCTCTGCCTCTTGCAGGAACCTCAGTGTTAATCCTACAGAGATTGATTTCCCTCTTTCTCAGTTCGCTGCCACCCCCCTCCACAGCCCTTTAACCCCAAACTCAAGTCCAAAAATGACAGACCTGCTTAAAGCCACTTATTAGCACTAAGCCTGCATGTGACTGAGAGGCCTGGAGTGAGCCAGTGCACAGGAGCTGAGGGTGGGATGCAGAGGGCAGCACGTGGAGGTGTCACCACCAGGGATGATGCCTTATGCCCTTCCCAGATCCATGGGCAAAAGAGCTCCTGCTTCTTCTAGCACCCAAGTCCCTTATGGGGACTGTCCCTCCTTGCCTACCTCTTGATCTTGTTTCTGCTTTCCTATCAACCATCCTGGCTCTTCCTGCAGCCATGCCTGACTTCCATACCTCTGTTCCTCTCTTTTTCCAGCTCTTTTCCCTGTATTCCCTTTCTCTCACTGTTTTCTCATCCTGCATCCTTTCTTCACCTGCACCTGCTCTCCCCACTGAGCTGTTCTAGTGTAGACATTGACCTGCTGTTACCAGTGTGTCCAGGGCAGTGCTGGGATGGGGCATCACAGGGAGATCAGTGGGAAAGCTGGTTTCCTACAGGCAGGAAAGATGCCACCAGCTCCCCTGCACCCAGATGGCAATGCCACCCTGCTTCTCTGCATGGTCCCTCCTCCTCCTCACCAGTGCCCAGTGCTGTCTGCCCTGCTGGGATCGCTTGGGGTGCCTCCTGGTCCTGGGGAGCTGGAGCCTGAGTTTCACCAGCAGCAGCAGCGTCCTTCTCCCCTTCCCCTGGCTCATGTGGAGGATTGGTCCCATCAGCTGCAGCTGGATGACAGCCTGCATTGTGCTTTCTCCTGAGGCAAATGCACACAACCCCAATGAAACAACCAAATCAGAGAAGCCCCAGCCAGGGCTGCATTCAATGCATCCCTCCTCCTTCTCTATGCTCACCCCTGGGGTGCAAGGAAAGGTGCTGTGTGTGAGTCTGCTTCCCCTTCACCCTAGGGTGCTCTTGACCACTGGTGTTGGGGTTAGAGGTGGCAGGGTGAGGGTTTGGGTAGCTGCAGGACAGAGGATGCTGCTGGTGCAGGTGCTGAGGAGACAACAGGAGCACCACATGCCAGGTCACCTTGTGTCATCCACAGCAGCAGGTCCCTGGGTGGACAGCTCAGTGCACACTGTCCTCTCTGACACTCCCCAGCTGGACTGGGTTTCATTTTGTCTGTGGGTGTCTCTTGAAGGCAGACCCTCTCATCCCCCCCCAGACCACCAGCCCATCCAGGGCCATCCCCATCCTTGCTACAGTAAGGCACAGGGAGTGTTTTTTGCCTTCCATGTCCCTACTTCTCTTTTCTAGCCATTCCCTCAGTGTGAATCCCTTGTTTCACATCAGCTCCAGCACATTCCCTTCCCCTTCTCGTTCATTTCTTAAACCTTCATCTGATCGACTGTCCTGCTCCCTCCATCCCTTCCCTTCCAGCTTGCTTCTCACCCTTCTCTCCATCAGTCTCTCTCCTGCAGGATGTTTATTCCTCTCCCTCTCCTCACCCTGCTGCCCTCCAGCCCTGCAGGCAGGGAGGAATCCTGGTGCCTGGGGCTGTAATCCATCACTGCCACCATGGCACAAACCTCTGCTCTTGGGCTGGAGGTTTTATCTCTGGAGGAGATGGAGGTGACTTTAGCCATGCCTGTACCCTGTAGAAAAGGCACCTAGGGGTGGTGTGAAGCTGCCACCACCACAGGGGCATCACCCTATCATCGAGACCCTGTGCCCTGGTCCTCTGCAAATGTGCTGCAAAGCTGCTGGCTTAAACCACTGCCTCCCTCTGTGCGAAGGGATGGGCTCCCAAAGGGTGGGTGCTGTCAGGAGCATCTCATGTACGATCTGGATGATGAATGTCCTTTCTCAGCATCGAGTAGGAGGCCTGGGGGTGGTCCCAGGCACTCAAAGTGCTTTGCTTGTGGCACAGACAAGACTTGCAGATGCTTGAGCTGAGCAGCCAAGTCCTGCATCTTGGAGCGCAGCACCACAGCTGAGTGCTCCCCTGCTTTGCTTTTCCCCGTTCAAATGGATTATACTCAATCCATACAGCAAATGCTGACCTTATGGGAGCTGCAAGCACATCCCAATTCCCCCATAGTATTAAAAAATAATAGTGGTCAACAGTGAAGTTCATTCTCTTTGCATATATGTCCACATAGACAAGTATATATATGTACAGAGAGAAAGCAAGGTCATTAATAACGTGGATATGAACATCTATAAAGTCTGCTGAAAGTTTTCCTGTCTAATATATATACATTTCTTGTATTTCCATCTAGCAGAGATGGGGCAAGACACAGGTAAAGACATTTTGTCCACTTCAGTTTGTGTAGGTTTGTCTTTGCATCGGGGCAGATGCAGTGAGTTAAACACCTTTTAAAGCTTGCAGCTACCACCCGTCCAAAGCTGTGCTCTCGGTTGCTGCTGACCTTGCCAGGCTCTGAAGTGCTGGGGTTTCAGTTTCTATGCTGGGTGTCTGCCTTGGGCTGATTTGTGATCTTCCTGTGTGTGCATGTTTGATTTCAGCTAAAACTGACCGTTTCCAGGAGGGAGATCAGGTGAAAATCTATTGCTTTGCCCATGTGAATTGCATTGGAAAACCCTTTATTTCCATGTCGTTGGGAACTGCTGTTTTCTTCTTGCTTTGAAGCAAGGGCTTGAAATTTAGAAGGGGTCCAGAAGCCAGGTTTTGCCTTTTGCTGCCCATGAGCATTTATCTGGAGGCATTTGTGCTGTAAGTTTAAGGAAGCCCTCAGCTGTGTGTGATGAGCAGGGTTTTGTTCTGCCTCCCCAGTGCTGCCCAAGCATCACTCCAAGCAGTGGGGAGGAGCAGTGGATCAGGGCACTGCCAGCCATTGGTGGTAATTTCCCTTCATTCATGCAATGAGAGCTACAGACTGAGCCCTGCTAGGAGGTGTTTCTGTCTCTCCTGTGGTTTAACAGCATTGGTCAGAGAACTTGCACAGTCATTGATAGCAGTATCCTGGCCGGGGACTTTGGCAGTGCTGGGCAAGGAGCTCCTCAGGGTCAAGGAAGTGTGTTTGAAAGCCCAAGCACCCTTTGAGGGGCTTTGTTGAATGGCTTTTTCATAGCTGACATGGCTGTGGGTGGAAGGTTTCACAGAGGAAAGACTGCTTGCTGGAACAGAGGCAATGCTGGAGTCCTCTCTCCACTGCTCCTGGTGGGATTAAACTCGCCCAGGTAGGTTTATAGCACCATTGTTGTTAGAGCTCCTCTGCTTTTCAGTCTAAATGCTCACAACATGAGTTCAGAAGGTATAAAGAGACAGAGAAGCTGTGACCTTAGCTCTGGAACCTGCATTGTGTTTTGATTGAAGCTGTCTGCCCACGTCTCTCTTCTGCTTCCCTTGTGCTCTGAAGCACTGCAGACACAATGGAGCAGTCCCTCCACTGCCATGTCCAGATGAAGCTGGAGGAGATTCTTCAGTGCAGAAGCTGGAAGAAACCTCTAGCTTTGTCAGTGGAGCTTCTATCCATTGTGGGGCTTTCTGCTGGCAAAATGCTCCCAGCACCTCAAGGATAGGATGCTGTTGAGTGCATGTGATGGGAGAGAAGAGAGATGTGGTGACCCTGGCTGGTTTCCATCTAGTGAACATCCTGGAGCCAAAGGAGAGGGGAGCCACACATCACCCCAGTGAGAGTGGCAGGTTGTGGTGGTCTTCCTCCTCCACCATCAGTGTATTGCTGCCTGCCCTCACCCCATGGGTTGGGCAATGTGCTTCCCACTGCCCAGCATAGCCCTGGTGTCCCCCAAAAGGCATAGTCTGAGCAAGTGAGACCCCAGGTTTGCCCATTCTGCAAACCCCCACATCCCCTGGCTGGGCTGCAGGAAGGTGAATGGGCAGCTAACCCTGAGGGGCACTGGGCGGAATAGAGATGCTCAGTTCTGGGATCCTCAGCACAAGACAGACAAGAAGCTGCTGGAGAGGGTCCAGTGGAGGCCACAAGGATGCTCAGGGGTCTGGAGCATTTCTCTTATGAGGAGAGATTGTGGGAGCTGGGCCTGGTCAGTCTGGAGAAGAGCAGCCTGAGAGGGGATCTCATCAATGCAGATCAGTATCTCAAAGGCAGGCGCCAGGAGGATGGTGCCAGACTCTTTCCAGTGGTGCCCAGTGACAGGACAAGGAGCAATGGCCATAAAATAACACACAACAAGTTTCACCTCAATATGAGGCAGAACTTCTTTCAGTTGAGGGTGGCAGAGCCCTGGCACA